TTACAAACAAGAAGAAATGCTGTCATAGTAATAGGAGTTATAAAATGCCCGAATTGACATGATGCATCGGTTGGATCTTCGGTTACATTACATACTGGATCGATTTTGTCAGCATATACTTCACCATAAATCTATTCGTAAACGAAATAAAGAAATTTATTAATAAGATCAAAAAACAAAAGAACATGATCATACCATAAAATAAGGTTCAAGAAATATTTCTTTAACAGAATGCCAACTCCAGTCCATATCAGGATATTTAATCGCTTGCCTTGATACACCAAAGCTCATTAGAACAATTAATACAATAACAATTAATCGAAACAAATCGATAATCTAAATAGAATGAATAATAGGAAACTTCTGGTTAACCGTTTGGTATAATTTGCGCAAGACTTGTAACTAGGGAGTGATAATTTAACTTTTCTTTTGCTTTCAGAAAGGAAAGTTGTAATATTTTAATGCTGAAATGCTTGTAGAATTTTATATCAATTACAAATCAGTTGAACAATCATTTAAATATCATTAACTTGATTTGTTCTCATTTTTGTTTTACTGCCATCAGCGCAGTTACCCAAAATCTTTCTTTGTTCTATTTTATTAACAAAAGGAAAAACGTCAGTGTTCTCGGAAGTCGATTGTCGATTAATTTGTCAGCCTCTGTTTATGAAAGGAATGAATTAGAATCAAGAATTAAAAGACTTGTTATGTGCGTAGAAAACATCTTCTTTTAGTGAATCTTCATTGTCCATTATGGATTATATCAACAGGAAAAGTCGTTCTAGTTTATCTTCAAGAGCACTTTACTTTTTTATGTATACCTCATAAAATAATATGAATAAACAAAAGTTAAGAATAAAACATGAAAATTATTGTTATCGTTTGTTTATTGACTGTTTATATATGATACATATGTTGTTTATTGGTTTTTTTTGTGGTTGCGGTTTCAAAATAAAATTAAAAACTAAACATTGTTTTCATGAAAAACTTATGATAGTGGTCAGGTATAAGAAACATGATCGATGATGTCTTTTTATTAAGAGTAAAAAATAAGATTAACTTTTTTTATTATTTATCTGCACCAGTTTGAAATAGATGATAAATTAAGGGCAATAACTTTTCCTGAAAAAGAAAAGGCAAAGTATGACTCATAGTTGTAACTGACTCGATTCGTCTTCACCAGGTTTTATCAGTTGAAACAAGTTTTATTGACACACTCTATTTCTTTGATGAAACATGCACAGTACAAGTTTTTAGTACTCTAACCAAAATAATAAAAAAACAGTTTTGTTTTTATTTGTTTACATTGTTTTATTTTTTTAGAGATCAGATTTAGGTTCGACCCGTTGTTCGAAGAAAGCTGATTAGTTTTGTCTATACATCAACTATCCGATAAATAGTTCTTATTTTTTCGTGCTATACAGAGGAGCATCACATAGTTATATTTGTGAAATCTAACAGATATAGATGACTAAAAAATGATATTTCTTTTCAGAGACTTATAAAAACCTAAATGTAAAAAAAGGGAGATGAGCATTCTTTCTGAAAGTCGCTCCTATTAACCAATTGAAAGTGATTCAACAAATCAGCTAGTTGTTAAGTTTTCACCAGTCTAAAAGAATTTTTGAACCAATCAGATCGGATCGATTACAACTTTGATGTGTGGTACACCGATAGTAGTTCTCTGATCCGCAATAGTGCGAACAAGCATGTGACATGAGTTATGATCAAATACGACAGTACAGCAATATATGAAAATAACATTTCGAACAAATATAACATTGTTATATTTGTAAAAGTTTGAGATGAACATTCATTCGATTAATTCTAATCATGAAAATATTATTTTTAATTGTCTTCAATTACCAAAAAAAAAAAATACTATTCCCATGTTATTCAAGCCGGACGAAACTCGTCAGAATAATATGCGCTATACCTCGTTGCTAGTGACAAAAAAATTCTGAAATACTGGTAATCAATTAGTGGTAGTTGAATAGTTAAATGGCCGGCTATTCTCCTATCTATAGTAATGCTAATGCATGTACAATATGGGTTATTTAATCGAATCAAGTTTTTTTCTTATATGGAGAAGCAAACATTTTAAAACATTTGTACTTACATTTCTTGCTGCTATATGAATATATGGTCCTACTTCTTTTGATACAACCAAAAAATGAAACATTCGAAGATACCAGAAACTTAAATTAACACACAATAATAACCTGCCAACAATTCGAAAGGCATTTGTTAATCTCAAACCAAAAGCTACAGCAAACATCAAACACGAAAATGAATCATATAAATGCAAAACATCATTGAAATAAACTGATAACCAAGTTTTCCATCTCGTTTCACTCATTGTTAATAATTCTCTTATTAAATCCATAGCAACTGTTGTTAAATATGACATTAATATCCATTCCCATACGGAAGGTTTAGGTGGTGTACGAATTAGTACAACATAAGTAAAAATAGCCAAAAATAGAACGAAGGAAATTAGATCTTGAAAAAATTTTGTCACTGGTGCATTATAAAATTCATAAACTTTCTTCATTAATGATATTTGATCTGTACTATCATTTGAATTAATGTCGCGATCAGGTTTTTTCCAACATCGATGACGACGAAGAAATTTTCTTGTTTGACGTAATAATATACAAATAAAATGATATATAGTCGAATGACGAATTGTTTCTTGAAAATTTGCTAAACGATTTCGAAATGTTCGTCGTTGATTTGGAACATCATTTGAATTACTTATTTCATCGTGTTCATTTATTGATATTGTTGTTATTGGTATAGTTGTTGATGGTGGATTGTGATTAGATGTTGATTTATTCAATGTAAATAAATTGATATCATCCGATCGATTATTATGATTATTTGCTGTTGGTGGTGATGGTTGATCCTCTGGATGTATTGTACTACTATTTTGTTTCTTTCGTTTTTTCTTTCGACTTTTCTTTCTACGTTTTCGTAATGTATTTGTTTCATTTTGCATTTCATCATTAGTTTGCTCTTCATCACGATCTGTAACAGATAGTACTGGTTCATGTGATTCATCAGATGATGATGATTTTGAATCTTCGGAACTATTATCAGTTGAATCATAATCATTATTATCACTATCAATAAGATCTTCTTCATCTAAAATAGTACAAATAAAAATGTTTCTTTTTTCTAGGAAAGGGTTTTTCTTTTATGAATTTATCGTACTTTGAAAATATTCTTCTTCTGTTTGAGGCATCAATTGTAATTCTTTTGATGATTTAAAATCGATAAAGAAAAGTGCTGGTGGGAAAAATAATGCAAGCAATACCATCCATTTAAGATATTTTCGAACATTCATTCCACCAATCCATAAGTCAGATAATAATTGTTGACAACATTTATGTGCAACAAAATCTCGAAGATAAGCTGTTACAGATAGATCAAGACATGTGCAATTAGACCAATTTTCAAGTTCAAATGTAAGAATTTGAGTAGCATTTACATCATCTTCTTGATAACACTGATCAAGAAGTGCAAGTGCTCCTAAATAAAAGAAAAAAAAGTTTTTATATTTTCAATAAACTTTTCAATCGACAATTACTCATGTTATAAGTCTAGTTATTTATAAATCAAATTGACACTACACTATTAGTGGCGTAACTAGAAAAAAAGAAGCTGTACCAGAGGAGGACTCAGTCCTCTAATTACGTCTGGATAGATGGCAGAGACTACCTGATGATTAGAGACCTGCGCGACCATTCCGCCGTGACCAGAAAAAAACAAAAATTCTTCGATAATGGTTTTCGCCGTGGATGTGAAAAAATAATTCTGTTTGATGTTTTCACATCCACCGTGGAAACCATTATCGAAGAATTTTTGTTTTTCTTTGGTCACGACAGACTGGTCACGCAGGTCTCTACTGATTATGCTTCTAGTGTGAATTTCCAGGTCCTGTTTTTAAGCGAAATTCAAGTATTTGTGGGAAACATTCAAAGTCTTGTTGTATTTCAAGATTCAATACACTCCGATTGTCTCTCAGTGACTCGTTTAGGTTCTAAATATATATACTGTAGATCTTTTCAAGTTAATATAGAAAAGAAAAAGATTGTGTACATATGATATTAGTTACATTCCTATTGCTATTAATTAATAAATTTCTAATTACTTTGTTGAAAATCTTCAGCATTTGACAAAAATTCATCAGCAATTTCAGTATCAAGTTCATCATCTTGTGCTTCTCTTGCTAAACTTTTGTTTAATCGACATGCAATAAGCGCTTTAGCTAATGCTTCTTCACCGTGCGCCCAAAAAAATAATGCCATTTCATGTCGTTTTGTTAAAACAGCAAATATAAGCAATTCATTATAAGGAAAATCAAATTTTGGATCTTCACACACTGAATTCTTTTTCATATCATCATTCAATACATTATTATTAATTTGTGCATGTTGTTCTTTTAGTTCAGCATCAATATAAACATTAAAATTTTGTCGTTCACTAAATGGTTGTCGTGCACATAAATGACGTATATTACGACGTGTATATGATGAACGATAACCATGTCCAATAAGTTTTTCCATAATAAGGCCTACTTCATATAATGAATAAACTCTTGTTTGTACATGATGATTTGCACTACGTATAACATCTTTAGCAATAAAATGTAGTGTTGTATTTGATCCACATGCATTATATAATGCTTGTAAACGATTAAATGTAAGAAAATTTTTAATTGATACACCATTTTCAATAAGTAATTTAATATATTCAACACGATTATCGACTAGTGCTTCAAACATGCATACATCTAATTGAGCTTGAGTTAATTCTAAACGTTTTGTAAGTAAACATGTTTGAGCTATATCAGGTCGATTCCATGAAAGTGTTAAACGAAATTGTTCAAGTGCACTTGTTTTATGATTTCTTTAATAGAAAAGAAGAAACTAGTTAGTTTTCGTTTTTTGATGTTAATATCTTAAATTTTGCTTCGATCTTTAGTAGAAATAAAAGGACTTTCCATACATAGATAAAGAATTCTCAATTGATTTTAGACAAAAGATTATGGAGTTTAAATTCTTAATTGATTATTTTTTACCACAGTATATGTAATCAACTATATAAATAATTGAAGCTTTCATCAAGTGTTAAGAAGTATTACATTTCTATTTTCTTACATTTGCAAAAAAAAATTGAACATTTCTCTTTGATTTAATAATTTTCTTTTTCTGTTTCACAATAATAAACAAAATTATTCACTGTCATATCTCTAATCTTCAAACAATTAGTAGAAAAATATAGGTATTCATTCTTTAATTAATTCCAAAGTCTTTCAAGCAAAAAAGAAAACATCTCTAATATTAATTATCACATATCATCGTGTCTTTTTTTTTGTACTGTTATAGATATCCAGAAATACAATCAATATGTAAGTACGGCGTATGTAAGATAGTACTAGATGACATGCCTTGATAATCCTATTACTCAGTATGAAATCAACCATTGTATTCAGGTACTGCTCTTGAATGAATGAAAGAAAAAGCCGTAGGACGCATAAAAATATATGAAAATGACTTTGTTTCTGGTTTTCACAACGAAAATGTCTCCGAATCATTAAGACTGAAATTTTAAAAAAACTGGTTGGTCTGAATTACATTTCATTACATCAAATTAACAAAATCTTTAAAAAAACAAGACATACCGAAGAAGAGTTCGTAGAATAGCTTGATCAACATCTTCTTGTTCTCTTGATCCATCATCATCCATTCTATAGATTGTTATATATTGTCTTTTTCTCATACATACAATTAATTCAACATAAACTTTTTCAGCTTGTCGGCGATTATAATTAAATGTTTTTTCAATAGCATTTAATAATTGTTCTTGTAAATCAGCTGCCATTGTTCTAAAATAATAGTAAGACATATTTTCTGTTTCTTGTTTATGATTATAATTAAATAATACCCGTCATTTTGTGTATGTTTATATGTAAATGCAATAAGATCAGCAGCGCGACCACTTCCATCAATAACTACAACAGAAACCTAAATAAAAAGAAAAAAAAAAACATGTATAAATTTTGACAATTAAATATTACTGGTGGTTCTTCAGTAACATATTCAAGTACGGTACGAATTGTATTTGTTCCACCTTCAACAATAACACATACAACAGGCACATTTTGTTTTCCAACATGACCTTGCATTGGAATAAAAAGAGAAAACAAAAAACAAATGAGATTAGAAAGAAAAATAAAAGATATTTTTTTAGGTTTACCATGAAATGATATTTTTTGTTGTGAAAGATATTTTTCAAAACGTTTTCGAAGTATAACTTCTCCACCATATTTTCCTACTGTTCCATTATCAACAAGTAAAAAACAACTATGTGAACTATTTAATGTTGCACAATTGTCTTCTGTAACAACTGCTGCTGAATGATAAGAAATTGTTTGCTTAAAAATAAAGAAAGAAGAAATGTATATTTTTTTTCTAGGTATTTTTGAGTACATAAAATATAAATGTTATGATTATATTTACATTTTGTCCTTTTAATTGTTCGCGTCCTTGAATAACACCCCATGGTGCAATACCAACGACAACAATATTTGAGCGAATTCTTGATCTCATAAAAAGTGCATCACCAACATGTTTAACAACACCTGTATTCATACCTGATGTAAATATCCATGCACCAGCAGTTTTTGCTGCTTTTAAAAGACCACGTTTTAATACTTGACGAAGACGGGGTTCTAATTCAAAATTTTGTATACCACCATGAATACTAACAATCTAAAATAAATATATAAATCATAAATATGTTTTCTTAATAGCTTTATTTTTTTCTCCTTACAAGATTTGGTAATTGTAATCGCCATTGTTTTGTAAAAAGATGAACAATTTGGGATGGATTTGTATCATAAGCTAAGCGTAAATAATGTGCTTTGGCTGGATGAAGCATATTTTCAAACTCAATAATTCCATATGCGTTTGTTGGATAAAGTGTTGTATGTTTAGCAACATTCCATCGTTCAAAATCATGTTCAGATTGATCAAGGGACGGATTAGTAAAAAGAAGTTTGGTTGATATAGATTTAAGCGCACGATTGGGTGGCTTTACAGGAGATAATGGATGATATTCAGCATTATTATCATGTTCGGATTCTAGTCGACCACAAAAACAACGAGATGGATCATTAGTTGTTGAAATAAATTTTTTACATCGCCGTCGAAAAAAAACCATACACAAATTGGAATCATTTATAGGAGCCTAAAAATAACAATAAAACAAACAAATTTTTTTATGTTTATTTAATTAATCAAATTTAATCAATCAATTTTCTTACAAGATGTCCATAGAGTCTATTCAACATATCGTTTTTTTCTTTCTTGTTTATCATAAATGTGGATTATTCACTGGAGAAAAAATTCTCCCTCTCTATTATCATCCGAGTCATGCAAACATCTCCAATTTCCTTAAATGATTAACTCAAACGAATGAACACACACACATCTATTTCTATATAGTCAACAAGACTGTCTTTAGAATACAAGAGAATATATATATAGGAAAAGACTTATATTACTTCTTTGTTAGCCATTATCACGACCAGTGCTAATCGAAAATACTTGATTCGACTGATGCTTTTCTGTAAGTAATCGTTGTTTCATCAATAACGAAACATAGGTAGGGTTGAATAAATTTAAAATGTTTTCGTGTTGAAATTAATCGTCTGAAAAAGAAAAAATAACGTCATAGTATTCGATAGAAAACATCATTGATGATTCTTATGAAATAACATAAGAAAAGGGCAATAATTACCAAATGCAAGAACATTAGTTTATAATAACAGAATTCTGTTGACATTAATAGATGATGAAATACTTTCATCGTGTCTATTATTTTTAAAGGGAGACAACGGAATACAGTTATTTGATTCATTCAATTACGTACTTCAGTTGTTTTTTTACCTCCTAAGGGGAAACAGTTGAAATCATAGAAAAAACAACAACAACCATGAAAAAATGATTTACTCTCAGTTTACATACTTTAAAATAGAACTTATTGCGTCTTTCTATGCAATTGGTATAAGAAATACGAATAATCTACATCGATCAACGAGTGTCAATAATTCAGCATTTAAAAACTAATTCTTAAGTTTTTTCTTGCCCTCAGGCTATATTTATCTTACGAATAGTTGAGTAGCGCATACAAGAAACACAAGGAACCTTGCACATTATATTTCAAACATATCAAAAACATTTTTTTCTTTCAGTATGCCGTAATTGATTGTGTCAAGCTTGAAATAATATGCATGTACGAATACATGCATTCAATCTCTTTGTTTACTTCATTTACATGAAGCAAAGAAAGAAAACAAACTTACCATATCTTCACGCTTAATGTTCTAGCCATCTATCTATAGTGAAAACAAGACGAAGAAAAAAATAGACGCCATGATCAATGTAGTTTCCTTTAGTACAGGTGGCGCTAAAATGATATTATTAATGGTTGGATTAATTTCTTGGTTTTCTTCTAATCAGCTGTTTACAGTCTTCCGAGATTAGTATTTGATGAATCCTACTCTAAAGACTTTTTGTTTTTAATCTACAAGGTTACATCTTTATCCGATGATGTCAAGAATGACTATGTTGATGTATTTTTGCTCAATTACATTCTAGATATGTCTGATGAAAATAATGAACGACAATAAGATTCATTTGATGTCAATTCCAATCATGAAGAAATTTCACCATTATCAAATCGTTTTCTAGTTGCACATTCATCACCAGTACATGAATTAACAATAACTGATGTAGTAGTTACTCGTATACAAGATGATTCATTTCAATCATCATCATCATCAAATTCAAAAAGTAGTTCAAGTACAACGAGTCGTTCATCACGTCGTCAATTT